CTTCTTTTTTTAATTAATCTTGCCAACGGGCCATCAATTTTGTTTATTTTTTCAAAGAACCAGCTTTTTGTTTGGTTTATTTTGGTTATGGTTTTCTGATTTTCTAATTGGTTAATCTCTGCTCTCAATTTGGTTATCTGGCTTCGTCTAGTAGCTTTAGGTCCCATTTTTTCTTGTTTTTCTAGCTGTTTTAGTTGCAACATGAGATTATTTACTTGGTCTGTCTCCATTCTCTTGATGTGGGCACTGAGGGCAATAAATTTGCCCCTCAGGACTGCTTTTGCTGTGTCCCACAAGTTTCTTTGTGAGGTGTTTTCATTTTCATTGAGTTCTAGGAAATGCTTTATTTCTTCTCTGATCTCTTCTGTTACCCAGGCCTTGTTAAGGAGTGTGCTGTTCAATTTCCATGTATTAGAGAAATTTCTGCGGTATGCTTTGTTATTGAGAGCTAGCTTGATTCCACTGTGGTCAGATAGGATACAGGGGATTATGTCGATCCCTTTGTATTTGCTTAAGTTCCTTGAATGAACTATGATATGGTCTATTTTGGAGAAAGTTCCATGAGCTGCTGAGAAGAATGTGTACTGTGTTGTTTTAGGGTGAAATACTCGGTAGATGTCAGTTAATTCCGCTTGAAGTATGGCCTCACTTAATTCGGTAGCTTCTTTGCCAATCCTCTGGTTGGTAGACCTGTCCTTTGGTGAGAGTGGCGTGTTAAAGTCTCCTAGTATTATCGTATTGGGATCTATTTTATTCTGTAAGTTTGAGAGCATTTGTTTAACATATCTGGGTGCACCGATATTTGGGGCATATAAGTTGATGATGGTTATATCCTCCTCTTGGATTGTTCCCTTTATTAATATGTAATGTCCGTCCTTGTCTTTCTGTACTGATTTTAATGAAAAGTTTATTTTGTCAGATATCAGGATAGCTACACCTGCTTTCTTATTGGGGGAATTTGATTGGTAGATCCTTTTCCACCCCTTCACTCTGAGTTTGTTTGTATGTTTGGCTGAGAGGTGGGTCTCCTGAAGGCAACAGATGGATGGGTCTTGTTTTCTGATCCAGTCCTCAGTTCGTTTTCTTTTAATTGGCGAATTCAGCCCATTTATATTAAGAGAAAGTATAGAGAGATGCATTGTTGTCCCTGCCATTCCGTTTTCCTAAGTTTTTCTTCTTTCCTTTCCTCCTGTGCTTGCTCAGTTAGACTTTGAGTAATGCCTGTTTGGGGCAGGTCCCAGTTCCTGGTTGCTTTCTTCAGGTTGTGTCCCCCCTCTTAGAATTCTTTGTAATGCTGGCTTAATGTTTATGTATTCATTTAGTTTTTCTTTGCTATTAAAAGTTTTCAGTTCTCCATCGAATGTGAATGCTAGCTTTGCCGGGTATATCAGTCTGGGTTGGCAGTTATTGGCTCTCAGGGCTCGTATGGTGCTTTCCCAGGCTTTTCTTGCATTCATTGTTTGTGTGGAGAGATCTGCAGTGATTCTAATTTTTTTCCCGTTGTAGTATAGCTCCTTCTTCATTTTTGCTGCATGCAGGATTGTTTCCTTATTATTCAGATCCATCATTGTTACTATTATGTGCCTAGAAGTGTTTCTCCTGGGATCTTGCTTGTTGGGTGTTCGATAAGCTTTTGTGATGTAGTTAAGATGGTCGTTTTTGAGGTGGGGAAAATTTTCATTGACTATCTTGTTAAATAGGTGTTGCATTCCCTTGCTCTGGAATTCCTCACCTTCGTCCACTCCGATTATGCGAAGGTTAAATTTTTTAGCATTATCTGCTTGCTCTTGAATTTCCCTTTGGTTTAATTTGAGTGATTTTTCCATATCTGTCACTTTTTGGTCCAGTTGGTGTATTCTGTCTTCTGTATCTGACACTCTACCTTCCATTTCATTCACTCTGTTGACCGTGGCTTCTATTGTGGTTTGCATGATGGAAATGGATCCCTTTATGGATTCAATGTTGGTTCTCAGAGTACTGATCTCACCTCTCAATGAGGTGATATCAGTATGCATTACCTCTAATTTGGCGTTTATCTCACTTCTTACTGAGGTTTGTGCAGCTTCTATTTTTGCATCCAATTTTTGTTTGATATCCTGTATATCTTTTGATAGTTCATCCTTGTGCTCTTTCAATTTCTGATCCATTTCTCGCTTTATTTCTTGAGTCATTGCCTCCAGCAACCCTTGGATGTAGTTTTTGTCTTCCATTCCTGCTTTGCTCCCACTGGGGCTCTCCCCTGCGTGGCTGCTGGCTTTTGAGGTGAGCTTGCTGTCCTGGGTAGTGGTAAACCTTGTGATTTTTCTCTGTGATTTTCGCATGGGGGTTCAGGAGACTGCTCTTCAATCTTGTTTTGGTGTGTCTGTCTTTGCTTGGTTGCTGATTCTCTATTGGTAGAGAGAGTCTGTGTCTGATCTGGATTCTGTTGGGAGCCTATTTCCAGCTGCTATTCACTTAGGATTCTCAGCTCTCTGCTGTAGCAATTCCCGCCTTTGGAAGGGTTGAGCAGCCTAGACTGCTTGTGTTTGCTCCTGCGGGTGCTCTTGGGAAGATCAGATGCTCTGGATGCACTCTCCCAAATACTGGAGTCTGCTATGGGCTCCTGATGTGTTTTTGTTTGTTTTGGGCTGGTTGTGGGCTTGAACTCTAGGTTTGGGTGCTGTCCCTCAGCTCTTCAGCTCAGGGCTGGCACCCTACCATTTGAGCCACAGCCCCACTTCTGACCCTTTTTGCTTTGTTCAGGCGCCGGTCCCCTGGCCTGGTTCCGGCCCCAGCCTGGAGCGCGCTCGTTAGGCCTGTGCTAATGTGTATACCACCTTGGTTATGCAGCCTGGAGGACACAGTTCAAATTTCTTCTACTGTTGGTAGTCTTGACCCAGGGGCACTGTTCCTGGCTTGAGCATTTAAGCTCCCTTCCCAGGGCGCTCTTGCTCTGGCCTGGCCAGCAGAGTGTGCTCCACCGGCTGGTGGGGCTCTCGAACAGTTCCCAGTTTTAGTGGGTCCTGTGGTCCGGGTGTTGGGGTAGGGAGTCTAGGTCAGGGTCTGGGGATTCCCTCCAGCTCTGGTCTCCCTTGATGGATTCCCTGTCCCCTGATGGGTACTCACCCTGTAGGTCGTCAGTTGTTGTTGCAGTCCGTCAGTTGTTGTTGCAGTCCAAGTTCAGTTGGGGTGGTTGCGGGCTGGGTTGGGCGGCCCCCCGCCGGGTCGTTGCGATCGCGACAGGTCCCTTTGTGGCGCTGCTGGTGCCGGGCGGCTTTGGCGGGATGGAGCCTCTCCACTCCGGTGGAGAGTGATGGGTGGGGTGGGATCCTCCTGGAGACTCCCGGCTGGTAGGTTTCTCTGTTCCTGGCGATCCGCTGTTCTGCAATCCGGTACCTGGTGATCTGCAAGCAGCCCCCTGTGTCTCTGTGGCTCCGGCAGCCCCCGCCGGGCCGGCTGGCCGGCGGCTTGGCGCACTGCCGCGCGGCCAGTAAAGGTTGGGGGAGGGGTCTTCGCTCTTCTCTGTTCTGAAATTCTTCTTTTCCTCTCTTTCTTTTTTTGTTATTTTCCACCTCTGGTTTTTCTCTGAGTGTTCGTCTTTTTGTTGTTGTCGGTCTCTTGGGGAGATTAAAGGTTGGAACTCGAACTCTCTTTTTGGTTGGAGAGAGCTGTGGCGTTTCCCTACTGCCCCGTCGCCATCTTGGTCAGGTCCTGAGCAAGGTTTTTGTGTTTTGTTTTGTTTTTTAAATGAGAAATAATATTTTTTTTAAGTGTAGGCTTTCTTTCCCTTTTCTTTTTCTGGGTATTGCTGGCTATCAAACCTAGGGCCTTGTGCATGTCAGGCAAGTGTTTATCACTGAACTATGTTCATGGTCAAATTTTTTTTTTTTTTTGGTCAGTTGTGGGGCTTGAACTTACGGCCTGGGCGCTGTCCCTGCACTCTTCAGCTCAAGGCGAGTGCTCTACTGATTGAGCCACAGCACCACTTCCAGTTTTCTAGTGATTTATTGGAGATAAGAGTCTCATGGATTGTACTGCCCTGGCTGGCTTTGAACCGTGATCCTCAGATCTCAGCCTCCTGAGTAGCTAGGATTATAGGCGTGAGCCACTGGAGCCCGGCTCCTAGTCAGTGGTTTTTAAATAGTCTTCATGTAGCCTAGGCTGGCCTCATAAGTGAGATCCTTTTTTTGTAGTACAAGGGATTGAACTCAGGGCTTCACACATGGCTAGGCTAGCGCTCCACTGCTTGAGCTGGGCCTCTTATTTGGTTTGCTGGCACTGTGGCTTGAACTCAGGGCCAATGCTTGCCAGGCGTACTCTGTCACATGCGCCACACTCTATTCCTTTTTTTTTGATAGGGCATTTCCTGGTCTGTGCTCCTTCTTCCTACCCATGGTCTCCCACAGAGCTGGGGCTGAAGATACATGCCAGTATGTTCCATCTATTAGTTGATATTGACTCACCAACTTTTTGCCCTGCTGATTTTGAACTACCATCCTTCTGATCTCTGTCTCTTGTGAAGCTGGGGTTATAGGCATGAGCCACCACAGCCATTTTATATTTTATTTTTGAGATAGTCTCTCAATAACTTCTTCTGAGAGTGCTAGCCTTGAGCTGAAGAGCTGAGGGACAACGCCTAAGCCCAGAGTTCAGGCCCCTCGACCAGACCCTAAATAAATAAATAACTTCTTCTGAGCTGGTTTAGAACTTGTGATCTTCCTACCTCTAACCCTCCACACCTCCCTCCCCCCAAGTAGCTGGGATTACAGATAGTACCACTATACTCAGCTAATCACTCCCTTTTTTTCTTTTTCTTTTTTTAAGCTTGGGAACCAATTTCATTGTTTCCTTTCTGTTATTCTCAATAGAATTTTTTTTTGTCTTCTACATCCCTTATCATATGAAAAAAAAAATGAGAATGTGATTTTTCTATACCTCACCACCAGCTTTATGACCTTTAGGAAGCACACTGATTTTATATCTGTGAAAAATACATAGTCATTCTCTCTCTCATTTCATAGGGAATATCCACCTATCACTTCAGATCAACAAAGACAACTCTACAAGAGAAGTTTTGACACTGGCCTGCATGAATACAAGAGTTTACAAGCAGAACTTGATGAGGTCAATAAGGAACTCTCTCGACTTGATAAAGAATTAGATGACTATAGAGAAGAGAGTGAAGACTACATGGTAAATTCAAGCCTAATGTTTATGTATAGAATCTGATTTTTTTTTTGGTGGGGGGGTCAGTTGTGGGGCTTGAACTAGATTTTTTTTTTTTTAATGCCAGTACTGGAACTTGAACTCAAGGCTTCCTCTCTTGCTTAGCTTTTCCCATTCAAGACTGACACTCAGCCAGGTGCTGGTGGCTCATGCCTGTAATCCTAGCTACTCAGGAGGCTGAGATCTGAGGATGGAAGTTCAAAGCAAGCCCAGGCAGGAAAGTCCGTGAGACTCTTATTTCCAATAAATAGAAAACCAGAAGTGGTTGTGGCTCAAGTGGTAGAGCACTCGCCTTGAGCTGAAGAGTGCAGGAATAGTGCCCAAGCCCAGAATTCAAGCCCCATGACCAACCAAAAAAAAAAAAAGGCTGACACTCTACCTCTTGAGCCAAGGCTCCATTTCCTGCTTTTAATGGTTAATTAGAGATAAGAGGCTTCAGGAGGGCTGTGAAGGTGGCTCAGTGGTAGAGCACTTGCCTGGCATGCATGAGGCCCTGGGTTCGATTCCTCAGCACCACATAAGCAAAGAAGAAAAACTGGAAGTGGTGCTGTGGCTCAAGTGGTAGAGTGCTAGCCATGAGCTGAAGAGCTGAAGGACAGTGCCCAGGCCCAGAGTTCAGGCTCCATGACCGGACCAAAAAAAAATAAATAAATAAAAATAAATTAATTAATTAAAAAAAAGAGGTTTCAGGACTTGTCTGCCAGAACTCAGCCCCCTCAGTTGCTAGGATTACAGACATGAGCCATCTGTATTGTTCTGTATTGTTCAGTTAACATTTATAGATCACTTACTGTATTTTTTATAATATAGTAGTGCCATAGACAAAACCTGTGTCCCTCTTCCCAGAGTTTGTATTCTAGGAACATGATATCTAAGTAACTGTCAGTGCCAAAGTGACTGAAGGTGTATAGCAGTAAGTGTGGAAAGCCCTATGTAACTAGATCTTTAGAGAACAAATACTATCTGAAGAATTTAGGCAAGGTTGCACTCAGAAGTGGTGGCTAAAAATTTTCCACATAGAAGGGGATGGGTGCAGGATTATAGCCATAAGGAAAACTTGATAGAAATCTTGTATTAACATGCCTAATTTTTTTTTTTTTTTTGCCAGTCTTGATGCTTGAACTTAGGGCCACTGTCCCTGAGCTTCTTTTTGTTTTGTTTTGCTGAAGGCTAGCTCTTAAGCCACAGCACCATTTATGGCTTTTTCTGTTTATGTGGTATTGAGAAATTAAACCCAGAGCCTCATGCATGCTAGCCAAGTACTCTACCACTAAGCCATATTCCCAGTTAATATACCTAATTTTTTAAAGGAATTGTCACTGGTAGGTAATGAAACTTGAAAGGTAGGAAACCACATTAGTAACTAGTTAGTGGGGAGGAATGGAGGTATTGATCAGTGGTATGTGGACTGCCTAGAATGTTCAAGCCCTGGGTTTGATCCTCAGTCTCTTTGGACCCCCCCAAAAAACAAACAACATACAGGTAGGAGTTAATTGGTAGCTCAGATCACGGCTTGCTTTTTTTTTTTTTTTTAAACGTGAGGCTTGAATTTAGGGCCTGAACACTGTCCCCGAGCTCTTTTGTTCAAGGCTAGCTCTCTACCATTTTGAGCCACAGCTCTACTTTTGGTTTTCTGATAGTTAATTGGAGATCAGAGTCTCCTGGACTTTCCTACCCACCCTGGCTTCTAACCTTAATCTTTAGATCTCAACCTCCTGAGTAGGTAGGATTACAGGAGTGAGCTACCAGAGAGCCTGACTCAAGTGCCCAACTAAACATGTCCTTGTCTATTTCTCATTAACAGGCTGCTGCTGATGAATACAATAGATTGAAGCAAGTAAAAAGAGTAAGTATCCTGGATTATAAAATGCTTTATTTAATCTTTACTGTGACTTTGAATATTCTAGAGATGGACATGGTTATAGAAAAAAAAGATACCCCCCCCCTTTTTTTTTTTTTGGTCAGTCGTGGGGCTTAAACTCAGGGCCTGAACTATCCCTGAACTCTTTTGCTCAAGGCTAGTGCTCTACTACTTGGAGCCACAGCACCACTTCCAGGTTTTATTTTGTTTGTTGGTCATGGGACTTGAACTTAGCCTGAGCGCTGTCGCTGAGCTCTTCGGCTCAAGGCAAGAGCTCTACCACTTGAGCCACAGGGCCACTTCTGGTTTTCTGGTGGTTTTATTGGAGATAAGAGTCTCAAGGACCTTTCCTGCCTGGGCTGGCTTTGAACTTCCATCCTCAGATCTCAGCCTCCTGAGTAGCAAGGTTTACAGGCGTGAGCCACCAGGGCCCCGCTACATTTGAGCCCATTTTTGGGGGGGATCCGGTCATGGGGCCTGAACTCTGGGCCTGGGCACTGTCCCTCAGCTCTTCAGCTCAAGGCTAGCACTCTACTACTTGAGCCACAGCGCCACTTCCGGCTTTTTTTTCTTTTTGCTTATGTGGTGCTGAGGAATCAAACCCAGGGCTTCAGGCATGCAGGGCAAGCGCTCTACCACTGATCCACCTTCCCAGCCCATGAGCCCATTTTTTAAACATTTTTTTATTATTATTTTCTTTTTTTTTTTTTTTTGGTCCAGTCGTGGGGCCTGAACTCTGGGCCTGGGTGCTGTCCCTCAGCATTTCAGCTCAAGGCTAGCACTCTACCACTTGAGCCACAGCGCCACTTCTGGCTTTTTTCTTTTTGCTTATGTGGTGCTGAGGAATCGAACCCAGGGCCTCATGCATGCAAGGCAAGCACTCTACCACTGAACTACCTTCCCAGCCCCTTTATTATTATTTTCTTTAAATAGTTGTACAAATAAATTCCTATTCTACAAAACAGTATATGAATACAAGGTGTCTGATAACATTGAGTCCATTTTTGAGAGTCCTTGACAATTCCACCCATTACTCCCCTCCATTTTTCCACACCCCCCCCCCTTCTCTAGTAGATTATAGATGGAATCATACACTATGTATTTTGTTTGTGGTTTTCTTTGCTCAGTGTTGTGTTTGTGAGAACCATGCTTGTTTGGGCTTGTAATTGTGGTCCATTTATTTTTATTACTGTTGCAGTGTTAGATCTTATGATTAAAACCTCTCTCAATCCCTGGTCCGTACAGAGTGAACATGCTTTTGGCTTTGACGTGTAATGTATTTTATAGTGTGCACACACTAGAATGGTGTCGGGTTAGGAAGGAATTGCATGATGGCCTAGCAGATGTCCCAACTTAGTAGATTCTGGCACACAGCTTTCCAGGAAGGTTGTGCCTCTGAACAACTCAGCCTCTGCCACTCTATGACCTTGTAGGCACTTGGCATTATGAGGCATTCATGACCTAATTTATTCAAAGACATTGTATTAAAACTTTATTTATTGTCAGCTGTGGGGCTTGAACTCCGGGCTTGCATGCTGTCTCTTTTTGCTCAAGGCTAGCCACAGTACCACTTCAGTTTTCTGGTGGTTAATTGGAGTGTTATAGACTTTCCTACGCAGGCTGTCTTTGAACTGTGATCCTCATATTTCATCCTGCTCAGTAGCTAGGATTACAAGCATGAGCCACTAATACCTGGCTTGTTTTAAAACTAAAATTACTAGCATCATTGTTTTATTCTATCTTATAATTTTGTGCTAGTGCTGGGGCTTAAACTAAGGGCCTCTCATTCTCTCTTAGCTTGTCCATTCTAGGCTGGTGCACTATTTGAGCCATGCCTCTAGTTCCATTTTGTTTTTTCAGGTTAGTTGGAGATAAGCTTTAGGTAGCTAAGATTACAGGTATGAGCTATCGGCACCCACTCACATCAAGGTTTGTTTTTGTTTGTTGGTCATGGGGCTTGAACTCTGGGCCTGGGAGCTGTCCCTTAGCTCTTCAGCTCAAGGCTAGCACTCTACCACTTGAGCCACAACAGCCACTTCCAGTTTTCTGAGTGGTTTATTAGAGATAAGAGTCTCACAGACTTTTCCTTCTCCTTTTCCTTCTCCGGCTGGCTTTGAACCACTATCCTCAGATCTCAGCCTCCTGAGTAGCTAGGATTATAGGCGTGACCCACCAGTGCCCAGCTATTTTATTTTTTTGCCCGTCATGGGGTCTGAATTCTGAGCCTGGGTGCTGTCCCTCAGCTCTTCAGCTCAAGGCTGGCGTTCTACCACTTGAGCCACAGTGCCACTTCTGGCTTTTTCTGCTTATGGTGCTGAGGAATCCAACCCAGGGCCTCATGCATACAAGGCAAGCACTCTACCACTGAGCCACCTTCCCAGCCCCTATTATTAAAAATCTTTATAACTCAATCATATAAGAAGGCTTTTTTTTTCAGTCATGGGGCTGAACTCTGGGCCAGAACGCTGTCTCTCAAGGCTCTTCAGCTCAAGGCTAGAGCCCTACCACTTGAGCCACAGTGCCACTTCTGGCTTTTTCTGCCACTACTTTTTCTGTAGTGCTGAGGAATCAAACCCAGGACCTCATGCATGCAAGGCAAACACTCTACCACTGAGCCACCTTCCCAGCCGACATCTAGGTTTTTTAATAAGCATTTTGAAAGGTTTGATACTAAAACTTGCTCTCTTATCTCCCATTCAGTTTCACTTGGCCCAGTTGACTATTTACTGATTAAAAATTTTTTTCTTAGGTGTTAGCAGAAAGGCCCTCTAAATGTCTTGGTGATTTAACACCCTATTAAAAACGAGTGCTTCCTTGGTGAAATCCTGCTTAGGAAATAGCATTGAACAAAGAGACCCTCTGTGGGGCTAACCTTAACCCTCATCATCCTGGATGACTAGCTTTTTGTTTTTGTTTTTTGGTTCACCTTCTTTCTCAGAAGACATGTTTTTAGTTTGTTGAATTTATGTGATTCATTTCCCCATCTTTAGTCTGCAGATTACAAAAGTAAGAGAAACTACTGCAAACAATTGAAGAGCAAATTGTCACATATCAAGAAAATGGTTGGAGATTATGACAGACGGAAAACATAGAAGGCTGGAGGGATTGAAGAATGTCTTTCTGATGTCTGCATTTTTCTCAGAAGGAAAACTGGACTCAAACCTGGGAAGCCAAAACTTTATGATTATTACATAGTTTTGGTAGTTTTAATATCATCAGTATTGAAACATTTTATAAATAGCTTTTAATCATCAAGTGGGCTGAACACTCCAATTAAGGATTTTATTGCTTAAATATTGGTTCTTGTATTAAGAACAAAATGCCGTTTAAGGTTTTTAAGCCAGAGAGGAAGTTTCACTTGTAGACAAAGTGTTCTCTCACAGGCAGCCTCATTTAATATTCCTTGTAGCCCTCCAGGTAACCCTTCTAATCATTCTTCTTCAGTAAAAACTGGGTCCCTGCATTGAATGAAATTTCATGTTTCTTAACTTGTGGTTTTGGTTGTTTTATAACTCACTAATTAGCAAGTCCCTGACTTGCTTATTTTAGTAAATACTGTGTTCTACTTCTTATTGATTTTATTCCTATTGTATAAATATTTTTTAATTGTCCTCCTGTTTTCTAATAATTAAGGTTATGTAAATGTAACAGATGTGAATTTTAAAGATTGTAAATATATACTTTTTAAAAATCAAAGTTTAAACTTGTGGTTAGAATTGTATGTATTTCTAAATAGTTTTCTGTTTTTTAGTTTACATGTTTTTTTAACCAAGTAGGCCTTTCATTAGATGAAAGTATTCAATTATAATTGTGACTTGAATTGTATCTCAAAGCAATGCTCAAGATCTTTATATATTTTGTAAGATATTAAGCCTGGTATTCCCTGCCTATAATACACTGGCTTGATAGCACTAGTGCTGCTTACACTGAGCTGTGGACAAGTCTGTGCAGGAGTTGTCTCTGTTGTTTCAAAACTTGCAGTGTTGTACCAGTTTGTGATTGCTCAGTCTTTTCTTCAGCTGGAAGAAGTTTAATGAATCTGAAAGTAGCCAGGCATCAGTAGCTCACACTTGTAATCCTAGCTACACAGGAGGTTAGGATCTGAGGACTGTGGTTCAAAGACAGCCCCAAGAGAATAATTTAAGAGACTCTTATATCCAAATAGGCAGCTGAAGGCCAGAAGTAGAAGTTTGGCTGAGTGAAAAAGCCAAGCAAGAACATGAAGCCCTATGTTCAAGCCCTGTGCCGGTATACAACAATTATTTTTATTATTTTAATCTTTAAGCTTCAGTAAGCAATTCAGAGACCAGTACATTATTTTTAGTATACAAGTTTGGATTGTTTTCTGTATAACTTTTTTTGGTGTTACTGGGGTTTAAACTCAGAGCCTTGTGCTTGATAGGCAGATCTATCTCTTGAGCCATACTCAGCCCGGTTTTTCATAAACTTTTAAATGTTTTCATGTAACACTGATTCATTTCTTCAAATTGAAGAAAAAGTTGAGTTTTTCTGTAAGCTACAGAAAATGGTTTTGGAATCACATGAATGGAAAGGAAACTTGAGCACATTCACTGATTTTAATGTAAATTTTAAACTCTATATTCTTAGTTTGTTTTGTTGTTGTTCGTTGTAGGGCTTGAACTCTGGGCCTGGGTGCTATCACTTAGCTCTTCAGCTTAAGGCAGGCACTCTACCACTTGAGCCTCAATGCCACTTCTGGTTTTCTGGTAGTTAATTGGAGGTAAGAGTCTCATGGACTTTCCTGCCCGGGGCTGGCTTACAACCACAGATCCTCAGATCTCAGCCTCCTGAGTAGCTAGGATTACAGGCATGAGCCACTGGTGCCTAGCTAAATTCTATGTTCTTAGAAGTCATTGTACTTAGGTTTGGTTTGGTTTTGTTGAGACAAGATCTTTCTATGTAGTCCAGGTTAGTCTTGAACTTGAGATCATCCTGCTTCAGGTGTCCTGGAATTAGGGTGTTCTCTGTCACTCCTGACTTAGTTTATGAGGGCTAGCTATAATTAGCTCTGACTTTGAGAACTCACACCATTTCCTACTCTGGAAAAGAACTTTAGAGTAAATGTTAAAGGTTAAAATTTAGGCTGTGTGTGGTGATTCACATAGAAATCCAAGCTATTTAGGAGGCTGATATCTGAGATTTGCAGTTCAACACCAACCCAAACAGGAAAGTTGATGAGACTCCAGTTTCCAATTAACCAGCAGAAAGCAGGAAATGGGGCTTTGGCTCAAATGGTAGAACACCAATCAGACTTATACAAAAGAGCCAAGAGATAGTGCCCAGGCTCTAAATTCAACCCCAGTATTGGCACCAAAATATTTAGATTAGGAAGTAGCTTCTATTGATTTTCCATGGTTTGTATTGTGCTTCTATTTTTTGCTAATAATCCTTTGTTCCAAGAAATTGCTTGTGGAAAAATAAGTCAACTGAAAAAGGAAACTTCCCCCATAAAGTAACACTCATTGTGTGATTTTCACATGAAAGTAGATCAGATGTTTTCCATGTTGCTTTGAAAGTTTAAAGAAATACTGTAGAGACAGACACTGGTAACTCATGCCTGTAATCATGGCTGATCAGGAGGCTGAGATCTGAGGATTGTGGTTCAAAGCCAGCCAGGGCAGGAAAGTCTGTAAGACCCTTATCTCCAATTAACCACCAGAAAACCAGAAGTGGCGCTGTGGCTCAGGGTGGTAGTGCTAGCCTTGAGCAAAAGCTCTAGGTCCTGAGTTCAAGTCCCATTATTGACAAAAAAGAAAAATACTGAAGAGTATAAACATGCAGAAACCTACCACCCAGAAATGACAGTTGATAATTTTTTGTCATATGTGCTTTGTATTTTTAAAAATAAAGTCCAACATTCATGGTAAATATATCTGGTATTTACAGTTAATACTATATCTACCCATACTCACAAAACTTCATTTACTCCTTAATCTACAGTCTTTTAACTTTTTTTTTTTGCCAGTCATGGGGCTTGAACTCTGGGCCTGGGCGCTGTCCCTCAAGCTCTTCAGCTCAAGGCTAGAGCTCTACCACTTGAGCCATATTGCCACTTCTGGCCTTTTCTGCTTATGTGGTGCTGAGGAATTGAACCTAGGGCCTCATGTGTGCAAGGCAAGCACTCTACCACTGATCTACCTTCTCAGCTACCATTGCCAACTCTTACCTGAAAGGACAAACAAGGAAGGCTTTATTATTCCTCGTGTGTTTGTTTTATAAACTAAGGTCTCACTATGGAACTTTTGGGTGTTCCTCTGGGAGTATAGTTTCCATTTAAATATTCTGGAATAAACAGGTTTACCTCTTTTTGTCTTTTTGTGGTATGAGTTATTCATGAATTTCCTAACTCTAAATTGTATTCAACCATCCATGAACAAAGAACAAATTGTTACATTCTGTGCTTTCCCTTAGTTTTACAAGTAAAAAAAACTTTTGTTTTGCCACTATATATATATATATATATATATATATATATATATGATTAGAATATTAGCCATAATTAAGCCAAGAGAGTATCATGAATTTGGGGATATTTTGTTTGACTTCAGTACCCTTTGTAGTTTGGCTTTAAGATCCATGTCTAGCCAGGTGCCTGGGGCTCATGCCTGTAATCCTAGCTACTCAGGACGTTGAGATCTGAGGATCACGGTTCAAAGACAGCCCAGGCAGGAATGTCTGTGAGACTCTGATCCCCAATAACCACAGAAAACTGGAAGTGGAGTTGTGGTTTAACGGTAGAGTGCTAGCTTTGAGCTGAAGAGCTCAGGGACAGCACTCAGGCCCAGAGTTCAAGCCCCATGACAAAAAAAAAAAAATCCATGTCTAAAACTATACAGAGCTGGAATTATGTCTAGGAAAAAATCTGAATATATTGTCTTACTCTTGATAATGCTTTGATTCAAATTTATTGGGAGAATCCTTTATCCTTTTCTTGTTTATGATCTATTCTTACCCTGTTGTCCATCAATCCCCACAAATCTATCTTATGGCTGTTGGTCTTAAGGGAATGTACCCCATCTTTGAATAGGATGCCCAGTCACAGTGAAAGGAGTGGTTAAAATCAAAGTGGAAGTAAAGCAGGAAAGGAAATTGTGAGGGGTTTGTGTCCTAGGAAAGGAAGAATATAAGGGTGTGAGGGTAGAAAGACACCTGCACTAGGAAATAATTTGTAATGCTAATTTTTCCTCTCTTTAAAAAAAAATTAATGCAAAGACCACATGTACAAAACCAACAAGATTTTTTTTTTTCTTTTTTGTCAGTCATGGGACTTGAACTCAGCCTAAGCACTGTCCTTGAGCTCTTTTGGTCAAGGCTAGCACTCTACTCTGGTTTTCTGGTGATTAATTTGAGTCAAGGGTCTCACAGACTTTCCTACCCTGGCTGGCTCTGAACCACAATCCTCAGATCTCAGCCTCCTGAGTAGCTAGGATTATAGGCATGAGTCACCAGTGCCTGGCTAAGATCTTTTCTTTTTTTCCTTTGCCAGTTCTGGGGCTTGGATTCAGGGCCTGGGCGCTGTCCCTGAGCTTCTTTTGCTCAAGGCTACCACTTTACCCCTTGAGGCACAGCACCACTTCCAGCTTTTTCTGTTTATGTGATATTGAGGAATTGAACCCAGGGCTTTATGCATGCTAGGCAAGCACTCTACCACTAAGTCCACATTCCCAGCCAAGATCTTTTAAGAGGAAATGGCAGTCAGTGGAATTGCCAGGAAGCCCTGACATACGGGAATGCAATCCTCATTTTGCACATCAGTTCATGAGGATGTCAGAGCCTGAAACCTAAACAAGATCTGGCTTACCTATGGAACAGTTTACCAATTTCTGTATTTTGGAGGGAGTCAGAACACAGATGAGGAAGATTACGGTACCAACAAAACAACATAGGCAATGAGGTGAATAAGCTGTTGGGGAAAGGAAGAGGCATCCAACTCCTGTAGTAGCTTCCCTGCTCAGAACTGTTCCAGGCCCAAGAAGCAAAAGCATCCACAAACCCCAACCCCCACTGCTTCACAGCTAGGTTCAGTGCTGTTAAAGAGTTCTTCATTCCAAACTTTCGGATGGAAAACCAAGCTCCTCGGAGCCCAGGACGAAGGTTGCTGAGCTTCTGATCGTATACCTACCACTCACCCAAGCCTTTACTTTTTGGGGTTAGACCATCCTGATGGCCTGTTCTCACCACTGCGTGTACAGCCCGCCCCCGGCTGACCTGCCCCCGGCCGACCTGGCCCCCAGCAGCCGGAACGTTTCTTCATCGTCGCTGCGCGCGTCGGAAGGACTTTTGCAGCGCGCTGGGCAGGGGGGGAGTGGGCGGGCGTAGCTTCCGGCGGAGAGTGGTTTCTGCGGGCCGGGTGAGTCCTCGGCCCTTGTTGGCGTGGCTGGTTGGTTCCCGGCCGGCTGACGGGACTTGGGGGCGTGGGGGAATTCGAGGCTGAGTTACCGTGGCTGCAGTGGGCCGCGCGTGGGGAATGGCTCCCGCCGGGACGGCTGAGCGCGCGTGAGGGATGCGGCTGGGGTCGCGTCCGCGGCCTGGATTCGCTCCACCTCCATTCGCGTGGCTCGAGCGAAGTCGCAAGCCCGGGGGTTTCCCGGCCGAAACCCTGGGGCCTTGATGGACCTGCTTCTCTCATTGTCGTGTTAGGCAGGGAGAGGTTTGAGGAAATGCTGCCAGTCCCCTGCACCTGTACCGGCAGCGCCGGGGCGGGCACTTCCTGGGGAACGTACCTTTCCAGGGCTTGGATTCCAGGAAAGGCACCAAGGGTGTGTGTGTCAAGGTGTGTGTGGTGTGTGTCAAGGTGTGTGTGGTGTGTATCAAGGTGTGTGTGGTGCGTGTCAAGGTGTGTGTGGTGCGTGTCAAGGTGTGTGTGGTGT